CGCCGTGCAGTTATGTATTTGGTAGATTCGAACTATGGAATGTTTTCTCACCAAAAAAGAAGGCAAAATACACTTGTATAGCCAAAATTTTCATGTTTATGCCAATAATAGCCAAATTTGAAAAAAATACCACTTATAACCAGGTTTTAAAATTGTTGTAGGTAGGGATGACAACAAAACCCGAACCCGCGGGTACCCACCCGACCCAACCCGGTCAACGCGGGTAAAATCCGTGTTGATGGGTTTTGGGCCGGGTTTGGGTTTAAACCCGTTCACTATTCAACGGGTTGGGTTGGGTTTGGGTTTAGGTAAACCCGGCCCGTGGGAATTGGCCAAGTGAAACCACTTCGTAAAGCGTAGTATAGCGGGTTAGGTTTATATGTCAACCCGGGTCCTAGATTTGCTGACTACTCAGTGAGTTCTTGTTATCTAGCAATAAAACTGGAGTGCAAGTCTAAACTACCAAACAAACAAAGCAAGTAAACTGGTTGTATTCAGGTTAAAGAGGTCACCCGGATATGGTTCCCCCTAGACTGTAGTTAAGCCGGATTGTAATTACCAAGTTCAGTTTCTATGAAGATTATACTGCGGAAGGTTCTTAAACAGCCTGAAGTCTCGACTAAAGGTCTTCAGACCCTCTCAATCTGACTCTCTAGCGGGCGACTAACCTCCACCGGAGTCGACAGATTGAGGCCCTAAGAACAAAACCTCCACTACCGGAGTAAATCCGGTACAGAATAGTGAGTTGGCTCCTCGACTAAAGTCACCAACTCCCTACCTTCAATCAAGGATACTCTATTAACCTAGGCAGATATTCTCATTCTAGGTTAAAGCAGAAACAACAGGAATTTGATCAGGATTCAAGTCATTCAATCATAAAACCTCAATCGAATATAATCAATCACCGAATCAGTACTTGGGTTCATACAATCAAAGCCTAACATACAAATCTAGGGTTCTCCATACCCAGATGAATGGGAGAACTACTCCATGGAGAAAGAAGCAAAAGCAGAATCAGACGCGGAATTCATACTGTGAAGGATGGATTCCTGCTCCTGGACGTTGATCGGCACTTCTCCAAGCTCAAACTGGCCTCCAATGGTGTTGAAGATCAATCTAGGGCACTTGGAGACTCTTGTTCGTCGCTTTCTCTCTCTAGGAATCGTTCTATCTCTCTAAAACTCGAATCCCCTCTCAATTTGGCTGAAATCTGCCTAAAAGGGCATCATTGGCCAAAGCACTGTCGAGGGCACGGCCGTGCTTTGCCTCAGCCCGCCCGTGCTTTGGCTAGGGTTAATTACACGGCCACATGTTGGTGAAAACACGGCCGTGCTTTTGGGAGAACACGGCCGTGCTTTGGGAAAACACGCCCGTGCTTTGTCTTGGCCCCGCCCATGTAATCAGCTCATGCCTGCCAAACTCGGATTTGCTCTCGGCAGTAAAAGCACGGTCACAGAACACGGCCGTGTTTTGAAGGCCTCCTGCCCGTGTTTTTACTTCCGAACCTGTTCTCCTATATTCAATGCTTCGTTTCTCTCTCGTCCGGACTCCGAATCAGTCGCCGTTTGATCCCAGACGCTCGTAGTCTCGTCCTCTTTCTTTCCATGTCAAACTTGCACGATTCTTTGTCCATTAAGTGAGGTAGAAATCCATTCTTCTTCAGGTCATGCCAGAGTTTCTTCTCCCGAATCGCCAATTGATCTCTGATTGACTTGAAACTTGCGCCTATGCTTCACTTTATGTGCTAGGACCTGAAATGTGACAAAGGAACACAACCTAGCGTAAAATAGGCCAAAGAAGCAATAATGCAAGCTTAAACGATCAAGAACCAAAGGGGAAAAACATGTGCAAATATCGAGTCATCAGTTGGATTTGAGTTTTTCAAACCCAGTGGGTTTTACCCCGGGTTTTTTTCAAAGATAAACCCATGGGTTTGGGTTTGGCAAAACCCGACCCAACCCGACCCATTGCCATCCCTAGTTGTAGGACAAATATAGTCATTTCCGTTAGATACTTTAACGGTGTTATTAATACCATAAACTTATTTTATAGTTCGCTGACTAGGCGCCAACTCAGCGGACACATCAACGCCAACTCAACAAATAGTGACACATAAGATATTTAAATTATTTAATATTTACACATCATAAATTGAAAAAAAATATTTTTTTACCCTCTTATTCCCCATCGGCTTCGCACGAGTCACGCCCTTTTACACCATTGTCTCTTTCGTCAACTCCTCTTTCTGAACCCTTGTCGGCGATAGTTCCCAGCATAGGCTTCATCCCAACTCCATCGGCAACCTCCGCCTTCCCCAATTCAACCATGGGATTTTCTCAAGGGGTTAAAGAGGGGTTAGCAGTGGAAGTGGGTTCTTCAAAAGTGGCCTGCTTTGGTGAATGGATCTGGGTTTGGGGGTTGAGTGGATTTTGAATCTAGAATGTTATCGGAGGGGAGTGTAGGTTGTCGTGAATCGGCGACGGCAGGATGAGATATGGGTATTGAGATATGTAAATCACGAAGAGCCGCCTTTAAATCACAAAATCGCTTCTCCCGCCTCTCTTTCCGACCGCCGCACTTCTCATTCTGTCGCTCAAATATGAAAATCCAGAATCGAAGGTCGAGGCAGCTAGGGAAATTCGCTGGCCCGTCAAGATGATTCCACATCTGGCAGTAGTGGTCGCCATCGTCCAATCGACCACTCCGTCTCCTGATTGCACCCATCGCCATTGCTCTCCAAGACACTTCTTCCTCTTCCAGCACTTCAAACTATGAGATGAGATAAGTCGCCAATTTGTCGCCGGTTAGTTCGAAAGGGCTTGACAATGGTTCAGGGTTCGTCAATTGTGGGGGATAGCTCCTGCCCATTTTAAGTTTGTCGTTTGGGTGGTCCTGCTTCCGGAAGAATAGCAGCAGAGGTTCATCCCGACAAATATGATCTCGACTTGAAATCCACTGCCGAGGCGCCGAGTGCTCGAGCTTTTGGTGTCGCCGCAGTGGAACGGAGGTTGGTTGAGATAGGGCTGGCAGTTCGGTTTCCGGTTAGCGGATAACTGTCGGTTACAACCAAACCGACCGGTTTTCGGCTAACCAGAAACCGAGACTAAAATTTCTTCGGTCGGTGCACGGAGGAGAATAAACAACTTCGGATAACAGAGTAACCGAAGATTACTAACCGCGGTTATCCGAAAAAACCGACCCAAACCGACCAACCCTCACCAACCCTCATATATTGCCTCCCTGGAAAAAAAAATCGACATCTACCCTTAACCCCACTCTGAAACCCTAAATCCCCTCATCAGGCCTTCACCCTCACGAGTCACGAGCGCCGCCGAGCTCCCTTCCTCGTCGCCTCACGGCCGCCGCCGAGCTCCCTTCCTCGCCGCCATGCAGATCCTTCCTCGTCGCGTCGCACCCGTCCAGATCCCTTCCTCGCCGCTGCCCAGATCCCGTCCTCATCGCGTCGCCTCGCGCCGCCGCCTCCATCCTACCTCTTTCCCGTCCATCCGTCGTCGCCGTCCCCGAGCAGATGAACCGCGACCGCGAAAGTGAGAAGGAAAAGAAAAATGGTATTTGTCCATGTCTCCATGAGTTCAGAGAAGAAGAGAATGGGAATTGAGTTTGGCTGAGAGAGAGAAAGGAAATTGAGATTTGAAGGGGAATGGAAGAGGGTTATCCTCTGGTTTTGGTTGGGAGAGAGAGGAGAGAAGAAAGGTTTGGAGATCGGCAGAGAGAAGGGAGAAGAAAAGGCCACTTTTTCTTTTTGGGTCAGGAGAGAAGAAGAAGATAAGGATGAAATGTGTGGTGGGTGTTTTTCTTCTTTTTTTTTTAATTTTTTGTATTTAATTCGGCTAACCGGGGTATAACCGATAACCGACCGGTCGGTTAGACGGTGACCGTGTGAAATGCGCCGGTCGGTGGTCGGTAATGCCTGGGGTCGCTCGGTTTAACCGAAAACCGACTTTTCGGTTTTCGGTTAAACCGAAACCGACCGAATGACAGCCCTAGGTTGAGATGGGTTTGCGGGTTTTACAGAAGGAAGGGTTTGAGCGGGGAGAACCAAGGAAAGGGGCGGCGGTGGGGAATGGAAAAAAAGGGTTTGTGTTTTATTAAATTTATTGTTGATTTACTTTTTGTTTTTATTTTTCATTTATCTACATGGCAAGGTTGTTGATGTAATTGTAATGGGCTTAATTGCAAGTTTGGTCACTCGAATTGCTATAAAATTTTACGTTTGCCACTCAAATTAATTTATTCCATTTATAGTCACTCGAATTAGTTGAACAGTTCAAGTTTGGTCACTCTCCGTTAACCTCCGTTAACTTTGACTGACGTGGCGGTCAACTCTGACAGTTGACCGTTAAATGTGTGACGTGGCAAATAAAAAATAATTAAAAAATAAAAATTAAATTTTTAGAAATTACACATCATTATCACAAAAAAATTATAATTATAAAAAAAGAAAAAAAGAAATTTGAGGCGGACCCTGTACTGGATGGACGCGTCCAGATCGATGTAGTTCCACGCGCGCTCTGTAACAAAAACCACCGCTCCTCCTCCCCTGTTTTCCCCTGCCTCCGCCTCTGCCGCGTCCTCTGCCTCTGCAAGCCGGAAATCCCCTGCTTCAACATAGCCTCTCTCCTCCCAACTCATCAACACGCGTTCTCAATTGACGGACGAACAACGTCTCCAGCACAGCTCTCATCCCTTTCGCCACATTGCAGCCGCGATCTTGTAACCCTTCCGGCAACTCCGGTTCACCAGTATGATACACCTCCTCACCACCTTCAACCACTCCAATTCTTCCTCCGCCTTCCTTAACCCACACCCGTTCTTCCTCATCCTCCACCCGCGCAATTCCACCCTTAAAACTAAAACCTCCGCAAAACCCACCATCTCCGCCAGTCTAATCCCGGCCAACCCTCCGCCGAAGAACCTACAGCCGTACCAGCCCTTCCGCCCGCCGCCGTCTCCTCTCCCCGCCAAGTACAGCTCCCTCGATGCCGCCGCCCGCCTCGAAGTCCTCTCCAGCAGGGCCGGACTCTAGTACGAGTACGCCCCGCTCATCACCTCCCTCATCCGCGAAGGATACGCCCCTTCCTCCATCAGGAAGTCACCGGAATCTCCGGCGTCGAGCAGAACCGGCTCGTGGTCGGAGCTCAGGTGCGCGATTCCCTCATCGAGTCCAAAACCGGGCCCGAACTCATCTCCCACTTCGAGACCGGCGGCGCCGAGCTGCTCTACGAGATCCGCCTCCTCAGCACCTCCTGAAATTATAATTATTTTTTATAATTATAATTTTTTTGTGATAATGATGTGTAATTTTTAAAAATTTAATTTTTTTTTATAATTATTTTTTATTTGCCACGTCACACATTTAACGGTCAACTGTCAGAGTTGACCGCCACGTCAGTCAAAGTTAACGGAGGTTAACGGAGAGTGACCGAACTTGAACTGTTCAACTAATTCGAGTGACTATAAATGGAATAAATTAATTTGAGTGGCAAACATGAAATTTTATAGCAATTCGAGTGACCAAACTTGCAATTAAGCCAATTGTAATGTTTGTCCCCAAGTCAGCATTTCTGTTTGTATAGTCAGCTTGTTAGATAAAGAGGGTTACTATTTGCCGCCCGTCTCTTTACTATTTGCCGCCCGTAAATTAAACTAAAATGACATTTTTACCCTTTGTTCATTTTTTATAAAACAAACCCCATTCCACCACTACTGTCGCCGGCGCCAATCCACCACCGCCGCCAAATCGCCGACATCGCTACCACCGCCAGAACCAAATCACCACAGCCGGCGGAAAGGCCCCATCCGACGCCGGCGGGAGGACCCCGTCCGACGCCGGCGGGAGGACCCCGTCCGACGCCGGCAGGAGGACCCCGTCCGACGCCGGCGAGCGGACCGTGCATTAGCGACGGTTTCAAAACCGTCACAAAATTCGTCGCTAAATGATATTAATTATTTAACTCAATCTTCTATTTTTTTTAATATTATATCATGCTAATAATTATATGTATGTTTATTAATTATATTTATGAATTAGAAAAACTAAAATTTATTCATAAGAAAAAAAATTAAATTATAAAAAATATTGTACAAACTAATTCATACTTATTTTATAATTATGTAAATAGAGCTAAAATAAATAAATTCAGTATAATAGCAATTAAATAATTATAGTATGTTAAATAATTACAAATGATCTGAAGTAGTGTATAAGAGAATGGATATTTAATCATAAATTATCATAAATATTGTATAAACTTATGAATAATTCATTTTAATTATGTAGAATAGTTATAAAATATTTATAAATATTGATTAAACCTTTTTAATTGTATTTATTTCATATTTAATAAGATCATCGTACCTAAATTATGTTTTATAAAACTTCCAAGGAATCGAGGCACGAAGAGGACTCTTTGCGGCTCAGGGAAGGTCGGACAAAAACATCTTTTACCAATTACTAGAGTCACCGACATGAAAAAATATTAAAACTTTCATCGATCTCTTAAAATGTGGATACAAATGTGTTGGAATCGATTGTTTATCAATTGGACATTCCCGACAAAAAGAGATGAATAGTGCCAAAACTTTCATCGAGGTGTTTTTAGGGCTCTGGGGGTGGTAACTAGGAGTTTCTTGAGCCTATCACATATATTTCCACGAGACGAAATATTATTGTTAGTGGAGGAAGAGATGATTTTGCCTCTAAAATAATTTCCTAGTAGGATTGGATGGATCGAGGTTGAAGGTAGCTATTCAAGGGGAATGAGGGTTTAGGGTTTCAGAGGAGTATAAGGTATAGGAGGTGGATGAGATGCTTTCCTTCTTTATTGTCATTATTGGTCCAATTGAGTCGAGTTGATTCTTATTGTTGTTATCCGTCATCTTGGGTGAGATTATTTCAACTGTGGTCAAACCCTAATTAAGTCAAACCCTAATTCGAATCAAACCCTAATTAAGTCAAACCCTAATTCCCTCAAACAACTATGGTCAAAATAATATATAATTTAGTCAAACCCTAATTCGGGTCAAACCCTAATTAAGTCAAACCCTAGTTCCCTCAAACAACTATGGTCAAAATAATATATAATTTAGTCAAACCCTAATTCGGGTCAAACCCTAATTAAGTCAAACCCTAATTCCCTCAAACAACTATGGTCAAAATAATATATAATTTAGTCAAACCCTAATTCGGGTCAAACCCTAATTAAGTCAAACCCTAATTATATCAAACCTTAATTCGGGCCAAACCCTAATTAAATCAAACCTTAATTCAGATCAAACCCTAATTCGGGTCAAACCCTAATTAAGTCAAACCCTAATTCCCTTAACCAACTGTGGTCAAATTAACAATTATATACTAATTATTCAACTATCAATATTAAACTAATTAAGATACTAACAATTGTATTTAAAATAAATCTAATAAATATTTATTTAAACCGAACCATTCAAACCGAATCATAAACCCAATCAGATCGGTCCGACCAGACCGGGCGGACGGGGTCCGACCAGACCGAATGGACGAGGTCCGACCAGACCGGGCGGACGGGGTCCGATCAAACCGGGCGGACGGGGTCCGCTCCGGCCAGTCGGACCGCGTCCGCTCCGGCTAGTCGGACGGCGTCCGCTCCGGCCAGTCGGACGGCGACTGAAAAAAATAAAAAAAAAATTCCCTCCGCCGAGCTTGGGAGGTTGGCGGCGGCGAGAGCGAGCGAGGAAGTCGGCAGCGGCGGAGGGAGGAGTCGGCGGCAGGAGGTTGGCAGGAGGGAGGAGTCGGCGGCGGCGGGAGGGCCTGCAGGAGGAGGGTCGTCGGCGGCGGGAGGGAGGCAGGAGGAGGGAGGGTTGAAGGGGGGCAGATGGGTTGAGGGTGGGATAGGGTTAGGGGCAAAATCGTCTTTTTTTTTTCTAACTACGGGCGGCAAATAGTAAAACTGCGGGCGGCAAATAGCGATTCATTAGATAAGAGGAAAGTGTATTTTGCCAAAAAAGAATGATGGAATGTTGCAGAGGTTGGAGAACACAGTTGTAGCAACTGGCTGTGGCTGGTGTGCCATTGGTTTGAATTTTGAAAAAATTTGAAAATATCACTAAATTGTATTTATATATGAAATGAAACTAGTATCCAGAAAAAGAAAATATATATGAAACTAGTGTCCAGAAAAATTCAATCCACAAAATAAAAGAGCGCGGCTCAGTGGTTTAAATTTAGTTGACAAACATGCCCTCAGCCCGCTTCTATAACTCGTGAAATGCCCTCGTTCTATCTACGCGAAAAAGCGAGGCGAAGAAAGATGAGAGAGTATGCACTAGGCAGGGGTAGACTCGTAAATTCGATGGTTTTGAGACCCACAGGCCACAATTACAGGTGCCTGCTCTGCTCGTTCCCTCTTCAGTCTTCACACTCCCAAAAAGAATTCGACTCTGCTCCCCCCAGCTCTTGGCGGAGATCGGAGAATTTTCCCCGGCGGCAACTCGAAGAAATCCAAATCCAGGCCAACATGGTAAGGAATCTCCATCCTCGGAACGGAAGCTTGGCAGTTTCAGCCTTTACATTTTCAGATCTTCCGTTATTTTCTCCTTCTTTTCCATCCGTTGCACGACGAAAGCGCGCTAGGGTTTCGGGTTTATGGGCTGGAAATTAGATAGAAGTAGAATGTCGTGATGGAATTCCCGAATCAAGAGTTACCAGTTACGTGTTTTCTGGCTTGGATTTCGAATCTGCTGGAGTGAGTTCGTGTTCATGGGCTATGGAAATGTCCGATCCATGTTTATTCAGTGTGGAAAGAGAAGTGAATCTGTTCAATTGAGCTTCTCCTAGATCTCTTAGTGGATGCTGATCTAAGATTGAGGTTAAGGTGTTATGCCAAAAACTGCCTTTCGTTCCTCTTGGCTTTCTCTTTGCATTGGATTCCTATGTGTGGTTTTCTCCGTCTGGAGGATGATTTCTGCAGTATTATAACTAATTTGCTGAAGTTTGATGGGAAATTGAGTGTTTTCGATAGCGATGAGATAAGCTCAGGATAGGAAAAGGGGAATGCATACGGTCATACGGTAAATGCATAGCTCTGATAACAGGGAAGAAATGCTTCAAGAATGGCGATTCTAGGTCCATTGTTATGTGCAACTATAGGCCTGCCTAGCTATTCATCATTACCAAGCTTGAGATTGGTATCGGTCCAAATATGTTACAGCGTAGAATTCTTAGCCGACCTATGTATCCATGGCAAGAGTAATATTAGCTGAAGAAAAAGTGTCCTGTCATAACTTGATAACTCGGTTGTTTTTTTCTTGGTATTATGTGATGTGTGTGTTGTTCCATGAGACTCTGACTTCAGGTTGTAAGCTGTGGATACTCTCATTCGCATCACTTTGCTAGTGTCTAAATCAGTCGGTTATTCATTGTGCAATTGTTTGGCACTTTGTTACTAGTTCATGCAATAGCTTATTCCGTTGTATCTAAGCAAGCATTGTAATTATTTCATGGTAGGACGGACATGATGGTGATGATCCTAAACAGAGCACTGCCGATATGACAGCTTTTGTGAGTTTTCACTTACACCTCTTTAAGATAGTTTAACTCTTCAATGCAGTCATCACTTACTGAGTTTTGTTTTCTGTTGTCCTGCAGGTGCAAAATTTGCTTCAGCAGATGGTTTGTTTTGTCAATGCTTTTAATATCTCACAACTGATTGACAATATCAAAGCATTTACTCAGTCCCTTTTTTTTTTTTGCAGCAATCCAGGTTCCAGACCATGTCTGACTCCATCATCACAAAGAATATCCTTCTCTAACTTCCATTTCTCATTCTTATTGTCTCAATCCAGAATAAATTATAATCGTGTATCTGCTTCAACTGTGCATGAAAATCTGAACGAAGTATGTTGGCAAGTCTTTTTTTCTTTCTATTTACACCCCTATTGGTCTTTCCTCTGGGTTCTTCCATATAGGAAAACCCATGCTCATTTCGTCAAGTTAGGAAGATATACACCATTCGGAAGTCCAGTTTATTGTCAAATTGTGGATATTGTTTCTTTGGTTATCCTTGACTGCAATGCACTCGATGACATGGGAAGCAGGATAGACGAGCTAGAGAGGAGCATCAATGACCTGAGAGCCGAGATGGGCGTGGAAGGGTCTCCATCTCCTTCGACGCCCAAGGCTAAGGACGAATCGGAGCCAGGTGCTGGTTCAGCCTGAGAGAAAGTACCAAGTAAGAAGGACGTTGGAAACAAAACTGGTGTTCTGCAAATAGTGTTCTTATTATTTCCGTTTGCTATTGGCCTGCAAGTTTTCCGGGGAATCTATGCACCCCATCTTCCATTTCTACCACCATTTTGCTTTTCCTCTTCTGATTAGGAAACCCATTGAATTAGAGTGTAATGTGAACACCATGACTAGGGTGTCTATGCTCGTTGTTTTGCCATATATGATGGCTCTAGTAACTCATTAATTCAGCGTGCGGTTCGATGTTAGCGTCCCTCCCTCGTTCGATCAAATCGGTTGCTATATGAATCATGAACTGATGTGGTCTGGGTTCGAATATCGATTCATCGAACCGGGTCGCTGTCTCTATAGACAGCTATTAGCATACAGCCAACCTCCAACTCAGCACAGAAAAAGGTGTGGAAGGTGATTGTGATTGAGAAGCTTCTTATTTCGGTTAAATGGTGCTGGAAATCACCAAAATGGTGGCTGGCTTGGGCCACACACATGAACTCCTTTCCTGAAAGGCACTTGCCAGCTGATTGGTGATAACAGCATTGAATTTGAGACTTATTATTGTTACGGCCCCCCGCCTCCATTAGAGTGGTCCAGTTGTGTTGATGTGGGTTTAGTTTTAGGCGTCCTCTTCAAGCATTCAATTGCAAGTTAAAGAAAGATGCTTTGATTCTCAGACAAAGGACCATTACAACAACTCACACCCACTCAAACTTAGCTTTCTCTTACGGCATTTCCGCCGCGAATTATGCTGAATCATGTGTGGTTCAATACGAGTTTATCTCGTTGGTTCGATCACTGTAAATAAGAACAATTTAGCCCACTTTCGATCACTGTAAATAAGAACAATTTAGCCCACTTGATCATAGAAAACATGAGACTTATATGTCTTAATGCAAAATCCCTGTTTGGAGAATGGCTAGATAGTCTAAGTTTATGACTGAATAATAAATTACGCAACGTCATATAATCAAATCTACAAAATTTAACATACCATGACAACATCACGCAACGTCTTGATGATCAACGACACGTAATTTAACATCACTGATGTGATTCGACAATATTATATTACACAGCACGAAATTGAACTCCGGTTAACTCCCAATTTCATAACAAATCTCGCCTTGTGTTTTTATATATGAAAGATTTAACATTTCTCCTCACTCTCAATGTTTTGTATTACATCAGACACAAAATCAAACCAATTTTATAGTTATTAGTAAGTATATATTATAAATATATATCTCTATGTGGAAAAAAGAAAAGGAAAAAGAAAGAGGGAAAATTCAGTAGCGGCAGCGAGTAATGTGGCTGCAGCCGCGGTGGTAGGGGTTGGCCTGAGCTCCGGCGTGGCAATTGTAGTACGACGCGCCGCGCCTCGAGCAAGGAACGCTGTTCCGCTTCAGCGCGCCGTAGCTAATGTACCTGCTCGCCGCCAGAATCCGGCGGGCTGACTCCGACTCCATCGCGAACTCCTCGCCGTCGCCGTTGTCGTCTCCAACACTGCCCGCCGCCATACACTCGGCGATGGATCCGTTGCATCCGGCGCCGGGGGAGTTGAGGGCCGGGAGGAAGTCGATGGCCTTCGATGTGGATATGGCGAGGTGCGCCGCCAGGATTGCGCAGATCAGGAGGATTCCGCTCCGCCGAAAGCTGCTGCTGCTGCTGCTTCTTCCCATTTCTTCTGAATTCTTTTTTCTTCGATCTTCTTCTCTCTTTCTTCGCCTCTCTCTGGGTTTCTGTTGTTTGGGTTCAATTTGTGGAGTGTGTGTGGTGGCCGAGGATTCAGGAGGGAGTGAAATGTGGCCTGCGCGTTGGGGTTTTAAGCGAAGGCGAGAACGAAACTTGACATCGTTTTGACGAATAATAACAGGAATGCCACTTTGCTTTTTTAAGCCGATTTATCCTTTTTGAAGTCCTTTCACTAATTACTAAGGAGAGATTAAGTGATTGAAGATATACTAGAGAAAACTCACGAGTTGATGGGCCCACGTCACATGTTTAACTCGAGCATTGTAAAATTATATCGAAAGTTGTATCTGAATAGTTAGTGGTATCGACAGTATTTTGTACTGGACTTGTTGTTTAATCATGGTTTAATCCTTTCATACTGCTAAAAATCATATACCAACTTAGACTCTAATAAGAGGGTTTTTCCTGTCGTACCACTGATATGATTGTGTTTCACAGACACTAGTTCAATTGTCTATTACATAAAGAATTACCAACCAGGTTATTAGAAATAGTTTGTGGCAAAATTACAATTATGTTTAGTTAAGTAGTGACAATTATTATGTAACGTTTATTTTATATAAGTTTATTTGTTTTTGACAATGGTATAAGTTTATTTCATGTGTAACAATTATAGTATGGTGTTTTGTATGTTTTACATAATACTTGTACTTCTTCTATAACATCTTAAAAAATTTCATATATAAAATTGTCAATGTTCTTATCAGTGTCCCAACACGTACATATGAATTTCAACAAACAGCCACATAGTCGGGATACCAAATTTTTTTATATAGATCGTCAAAGAAAGATGAGATTCAATATGAAATCGCTCAACATTACAAAAAATCCAAAGTACAGATTACATCTAACAGTCTGATTCGTCTAGTTCATATAAAAGCACAAGTATCTCAAATTTTAACGAATTAAATTGAATTCTCCGCTATCATAATTCTCCATAATAAATCTAAGAAAAACTTACGATAAATCCAAATACACCTTTTTTTAGAGATAATAGTTTAGTTCCTCCCTCTTCCTTGCCTTGCCTATAATGATACGTCCAATCGACCAAACAAACAGGGTGTGTGAAAGTAATGTGGGAAAAGGGGAAATGAATGTTTATGCGCGCATTCATTTTTGCTTCGTTGGGAGACATCATAATCAACAAGGTAGGAATTTTGCTTAGGACGCGTTTGTTTTGTTTAATGGATTGCTTCTTTGTACAGACCAACACCATTTGGCCCCTTTTGCCAATCATAAGAGCTATCAATAATCGAGTATGCGACAAAAATTACAACCATGAGAAAATGATCATTAGCTTGCTTGCTTGGCCGGTGAAGTTGATTGATTTCCACTAATTAATTGTGGGATTTGCTCCTTCCAACCGTTAGCATGGTGAAAGCATATTCGACGGCAAAATTGGCACCATATATATACTATGTTAGGTTTTCGCATGAAATTTATCCGGTTTTGAGAACTATCGTCGCCTATAATTATTGTTTGCTTTCTAATACGTTTCAACCATTGTAGTCGAATGATGTTTCAAGTGGAAGAGGATGAATTAACGAGATAAAAGTTTAGAACTGAATGTTACTGAGATCCGCGATTAAATTTGTCTAGTGGAAGGGAGACAGCCGAGATGATATCAAGAGTTTCGAGTTGTCAGCTGGGCTCTTGTCTCACACAGGTGTAACGAAATAATCCATACCTTCGTCGATCTTTGAGTTGACCGGGCATTATCTACTGTTTTATTTGGGTTGATTGAACGTCCTTGAGTCCGTTTAGCTTTGTTTGAGACTGATAACGGTACGAGATTTCCTTGTGGTCGTGACTAAATATCCTCTTTAATGAATTTTGAATAAACTAGTTGAATACAACTATTTTAAATATTATTTGTGCTCTATTTCTTAACAATGTGAAGTTAGCATTGATTTAGGAGAGGTATATACTAGGGCGTTAATGATTGGCGTCAAAGACAGTTTGGTTTATTTAAGATTTAACAAAGTGGCCAAACGGTTTGCCGGCGGAGATGCATGTGAACAAGAGGCCAAGCTGGCGTTTTAATTGAACGGGGGAAATAGACGGGCCGATTACATAAATGGCCCCCAAATTTTGATTCATTGCAAATTGGCTACCGGAGTTCGATATGCAACAAATTTATGCTAGAATTCCAAATAACTAACATAATAGTCCTTCTCGTTTTCCTCTAGTAACCATGAGATTTTATGTTCAGTTTTGTATGTTTATCAGCCTGTCAGTTCATTGGATCCATAGCAGAAGTTTAAGTGCAACACGCAGATCTAATTAGTTGCTATAAATATTTTGAATCAAATTCGTTATTCAAGTCATTCCAATGCGTACACAGATCATAATTAGCTCATATAATAACAATGCTTATGTAGATTCTAGTGGCAGTTGAATTGTAAAACCATGGGTCGCTTATATGTATTATTTTACATGTGTATTCAAGAGCAAATACTGTAATATTTGATAATATGGTATTTTTTATTTATTTCTGAATCACTTCAAAGTTCAAACAACTACATCTATTTCTTGTTTCTCAGGTAAAGAGTGAAGTTGTGGTGCTGGTGCAGGTGCAGGTTCTCCAAGATCTAGAACAGTTTTGGACTGCTGATACTTTTGTGAATCTGGTCTCTTACCCAAGATTTTGCTCCCCTATAGGTTTTCATTCGTAGTTTAATTTGTTTAGTCAAATTGTTCCCAAGTTTCACTCCTAGCTGACAAGGATATTGTCAGAAACCCTTTTTGATATAATGAAAGCAACTTATTCATAAAAGAAAAAGAATAACAAATACCATACATTTGTAGATCCTTTTTCAACACACTAACACGATCTAAGGTGGTAAGACATGAATTTGATAGCCTCGGCATCGGGTGACACGAGTGGATGTGGATCAGGTTGCAATTTGGGGTTTTTCATTTTTGACTTCTTTCACCCACTCTATACCAAGGAAATTACGCTCATTTATTTGACTTTATTTATAGGCCACGCCAAACGGCCAAAGTCCAAACGGCAGTATAGAAGCCCACAAAGGTGGGCCGATCCTTCCACGTTGAGCTCGGCCCATCCAACACCCATTTAGGGTTTTTACTTTTTACTTGTTTCCTCAAATTACTGTTCTAAATTCACGGGTTAGTTTCGTTCCTTCCCTGATCTCTCTCCTTCCACCGCCGGGCAAGAAAAACCAGCAATCCGATCTTCTCCCTGGGCTTTTGGTACGATAGTTACGCTTTAACCAGGAATCCGATCACTGTGTTTGGCTGCCGAAAAACCGAAGCTCCCTTCAGTATTTGTCTTCGCTATTTTCTTCTCCAGTCGTTTTCGATTTGTTCGAAGCGTAATTCTAGTGAAGTAATTTCTCTACTGTTTCCCTATTTTCTCAGGCGATTCCCATCCATACTCGCAAAGATGCAGAACGAAGAGGGCCAGAGCGTGGATCTCTACATTCCCCGGAAATGGTAATCTTTCGAACTCCTAATCCCCCCATGAAAATTTTGCTTTTAATTTCTAGGGTTTAGGATTTGTTCTGGGTTTCAATGGAGGTGTTGGTTGAGTTTGAGTGTTTTTTTTTACTATGGCAGCTCGGCCACAAATATGTTGATTACTTCGAAAGACCATGCATCCGTCCAGCTCAACATCGGGCATTTGGACGAGCACGGGCTTTACACTGGCCATTTCACCACCTTTGCTCTCTGTGGCTTCGTTCGTGCTCAGGTGAACTTTTTCCCTCTCTTCCTTTCATTATTCTTAGTAATGCTACTTTCTGCTGTGGTTTAAACTTGAGATCGAGTCGGACGATATCTTAAGTAAGGTGAGTTGGTAAATAATGAGGAGTAGAGTGTTTACTATGGATTTGAGAGAAGAAATGATATTGATAGGAAAAACCGCGATGAATAGTATCGCATGTGAAATCATGCTGGAGTGGAGATTGAACTGGTGAGGCTAGCGGTACAGCGTATGATACAAGTATAATAACAAGATTGTTAACAATTGCAAATTCTTCGATCTGAACCGAAAATTGTCAACAATTTGCTATCGTGATAACATCGTACCAGTTTGGTCACTAATACGTGGTTTTACGTGTACATAGAATATCACAAACACTGGACTAGAAATAGTGCTTGTATGCTGTTGATAGCATAAACTAATATTAGCAATGGCTCTGCTTAGACTTCTTTTACTTATTACGGTCAAGGGATAGAGACAAGAATATGTTAAATATCTCATAACGTGCATTGTTGCGTTTGCACTTCTTACTTACATTAAAGATACTTCCATTCCTCATAGTATAGGCTGCTGTCTTGGTATGAAATGGACTTATTAAGAGAATCTCGACGGCGGGAATTTTTTTTGTTGTTGTTGGATTCTTGAAGCTCTACCTGCCTGTATCTGTTGAGTACTCATTTGCATTGCATCAAATGCTTGCTGCTGGTGCTGTGACTGAGCAAAGTTTCAATCTATCTGGAACTAATTGACTAAGGCGTGGAGGGGTGTTTTTTCTTCTGTTCATTTGCAGGGTGATGGCGATAGTGCACTGGACCGGCTCTGGCAGAAGAAGAAAGCTGAGCTGAGGCAGTAGTGCAATTTAGACGCCTAGCTGGTTTGCTGAAGGGTCTATTGATTAGTATGGGTCTTTGAACAATAATGTCGAAGTACTTAGAATGTTGCTGAAGAGTCAATTTAGAACTTAGAATGTTGCTCTGAGTTATGAATTGCTATTGCAGTCAGTTCGTTTAGCTAGTGGTGGTCTCAAATAATGTCAAAATACTTGGCTGATGGAATTCAACAAGTAATAAGCACTTCTGTTTTGAGCACTGTATCCGGTCGTAATCCAACGTACAAACCAGCAAAGTTCCGAATGCACTTTGTGAGACTGTATTTGCTGCTCGTATCAATTGAGTTGCGACTCTAATAGAATAGAAAGAAATGGTAGGCTCTCTGCTCTATTTGCTGGAAATGCTATACCTATCGAAGTTTAGAACACTTCTTAGGCTCTTCTTAGTCCACCAGTAGGCCTAGCGATGACTAATTAGAGTTAACATGAAATGGATCAACGGAAGAAGACAGCATCCGGTGAATGAATGGTTCGATCTCATCCCCAAGCCACTACGTGCTCCTGCTGCCACACTTTCTATATCCGATGGAAGAAAGAGACCATGATCTGCACCAGAGACCAGTCAGACACAGAAGAGGCTCCTTCTTCTAAACGTCATTGAACTCTCACTGGAAGTTCTGCTAAGAAAGTTGCTTTGAAGCACCCTTATTGGGTTGAATATAAAGCCACAGTTGCACAGAATGAACTGCAGACAAAGCAGGAGATAGAGATTGAAGCTAATGCATTGATATCGAAAGGAGGCAAAGTGAGCTGTCTTTCTCTTCTGTTTTGGGGCCTTGGGGTGAGAGTATGCAATTTGTTAGCATGAACTTGTGGAGGTACCCATGTTTCAGGTATCTCAGATATCTCAAGCTTGAAGGTACAGAAAGAACACTCTCCTAAACGCTATAGCAGATTCTGTGTTTTCTCCAGCTGACGATGCTAGTCTGATCTTTGTAAACACATGCACATGGGAAATCTCAAACACCTAGTTGGAGAATAATACTAATAATGGCTTTACTTTATGTCTTGGAATATGCTGTGAAACAATTTAAGGCTGGTGTTCAGAAAATACTGTGAGCATTTTTATGATATGAAGATCTGACAAGTGGAATTAATGGTTATGCACAATTAATATGGTTGACAGTTCATGATGATGTGATGAGTGTTAAAGAACCAGTTGGTTTCAATAACTCGAGTTTTTAGAATATGTTTAATATGCATCATATATTCATATACCACTTCATAACACACCCTTCACCAAAAGAAAATTGAACTCAAAAGGGTTTGAAGTTTGCACAAATTAGAATACCACGTGATTAACAAATAGGGATCAAAAGGGTTTGAAGTTTGCACAAATTAGAATACCACGTGATTAACAAATAAGGACCATCGTATTGGAACAAAAGATCTCTTTATCATGGAAAAGTTACTCTGATATTGAATCTTTATTTGCATGAATACTAGACAAATTTATGTAAATAAGCTAGAGTATTTGTTAGATTGAATCTAGGAGTATATTTATTTCTAACAATGTTTAAATCACAAACCACTAGGCATTTTCAAATACTTAATTTTACGTAATAAGTTTCAAAACGCATTCGCCTCCAAGTAATGTTAGCTCATGCAAAGTTTAATAAGTATGACCATTTCAACCAACATCCATCTCGATTAATATTTTTGACCATCAACCATTAGTTGACAGCTCTGGTTATACATTTTCTTTGAAATCACATAAAAAAAAACTATTTTTTTCCTTCCCAAGTTCACCTTTAGCTTTGATTCAAGCTTGATGTTGATAGGTTCTGAGCCATATTCTGAGCAATATGGTTTTACTACCAGGAGCCATGTATGTTAATGTTGGTAGACAAATGAAAATGTGGCCTAAAAATATGCAGCAGAATTTGATTACTCTCTTTCTCTCCACTGTGGTTCATGGCCCAGCATTGGCATTCTTGCGGATCCAGTTTGCTTCAATATCTATATGGCATTAATGGAGATATTTGAAGGCCCATTCATTGACAAGCAAGCAAAAGGGGGCGTGGTTTGGGCCATGCATCCACAAGCTTTTGACTTGTCTTCTTTTCTCTTGTTTCCCCTACCTAACATCATGCGGGTAATTAGCACAAAAGGTCACAAATTTATGCACTTAGTACAAAACGGTGATAAACCTTTAATTTTGTACGTTTCAATAACAAATGTTTGGACAAATAACGAAAAGGTCATTCCGTCCATTTCCATCCAAAAAACCGTTACTTATGCCCAGTCAGCGTGCCACATCACTTAAAATATTAATAAAAAATTAATGACCAAATCCAATACTCAACCCAACCGGTTGCCGAGTCAACCCCTCATCGCCGTCCTCAACCCTAGCTCTGCCAAAGTATCTCCTCACTTTCCCAAAAATTTCAACCCGACAAACCTTCCAATAGTTCCATTTATTCCCAATCTACATAGAGTAATTCCATTAGAACCCAACCAAAAGACAACCAGAAACCCATCATGTCCAATCTGAAATCTTTCATTTTCACTTCATATTCATAATTCTCCTCTCCATACTGTCAATTCCATTATCAAAATCTCAAGAGCCCATCAAATCGTCACAGCCGCTGGATCCACTAATCAGAGACTACACATTCAATTCCACCTTCATCAACAAGACAAAAAACAGGGGAAAATCCACAACGTCAACCTCCCTGCTAACCTCTCCGGTGCCAGATCTCATGCGATCAGGTTCTGGTGCGGCAGGCGACATGCTACAGTGCCCATATCGATGAATTCCGCCTCAGAATCGGCGTCTTGCTCTACCCATGCCTTGAGTGAGTGATTTTAATTTGCCGGCAAGAAGAGGAGCATAGCCTCATTCCAACTACCCATTTGAGATCGAGATCTGTTCCAGCCAAGGAAACCCTATCGCCATCAGTTTCACGAACATTGTTGATGTTATCGATCCCCTGTGTGCAATATTTGAGGGAGATGGGAAGACAGTGAGCTTGAAACCCCCGATTTCAGCTCGAGTATGTAGTTCGATATCCAACGGGCATTTTGGGTTGTTCGTGCAGCTTTCACCTGCGCGGAGTTCGGAGCTTGCGCTGGTAACGGCGGGAGAAGAAGGGAGAGCGACGGTGTGGAAAGTGGCGGTGGCGAGCAGCGTGGGGAGTGCGTTGGTGATTGTGCTACTAGGTTAAGCCGGCCACTTTTGGGGATTTTCGTTCGATGTGAATGGAAGGTTCGTCGGACTCAATATTTTGGGGGAGTGAGGAGATGTTTTGGCAGAGTTAAGGTCGACGGTGGGGTAGACGAAGGCGATGAGGGGTTGAAACGGCAACCGGTTTTGTTCAGTCTGGGTTGACTGGTTTGGTCATTTATTTTTTTATTAATATTTTAAGTAATGTGGCATGCTGACTGGGCAGAAGTAACGGTTTTTTGGATGGAGATGGACGGAATAACCTTTTCGTTATTCGTCCAAACATTTGTTATTGAAACGTACAAAATTAAAGGTTTGTGACCGTTTTGTACTAAGTGCATAGGTTTGTGACCTTTTGTGCTAATTACCCAACATCATGCATGCCTTTTAGTAGGAAACTAGGATATAACTATATAAGTGGTTTGGACGTGTATTATTCAAACATGTTATTTTAGATCAATTATTTATCACTCAAATATCTACGAGTGTGTAATGGTACAATTCATATCATATTGAATACATGAGAACAAGAGTCTAATAGTGAAAGACATTTTAGAATCAAGAATCGAATCAATAGTTCATTTGATTCAATTTGGTCTGGTTTGATGAGATCCAAAATGTTATTTCTATACTTTTTTTTGTCATGATTTATAAAATTTATGGAATCAAGGACCGAACCATATTATATTCGGTTCGGTATGGTCCAGTCCAAACTTCAGTTTGATCCGATGTGGTCGTGTACGGTACGGGCCAAACTGTTGAACACCCATACAAATACCACATGTCACGATACATGTTATTTGTTATATTGTATTTGTACGAAATATCAAGTTTGGATGGATTGTAAGTAATCGTATTGTTGATATGATATTTACACTCAAATTTGTTATTTACCAATTTACCTTGCCTAACAAAATTCTTTCTTGCTTGGCCGGTGCGTGTGCATATGCATATGTTATTTAACATGGACAAAGTTTTATGCGTCACCTCAATATAATAGTGTGTTCAAGATATTCAAATCAGTTATAGAATAATAAAAATGTTAAATTTAAATACTATTAATATCTATGATATAAAATTTCATAAATTTCTCTCTCCTCTTTTCTCTCTTTTCTCCAGCGATCTAGGGATTTTGCTCCGGGCCTAGATGGCGGCCTCGCCGTCGGGCTCGTCGCCGTCGGGCTCGTCGCCTACTGGCGAGGGTGTCTCTTGGGCTCAGTTGTTCGAGGTTTCCCCTGAGAATCGACTCCGTTTTCATCCGCCGGAGAAGGTGAAGGATGGATTCAGGCTTCCGAAGGAGGTCAAAGAGAAGGGTGCGGAGAGGTGGAAGAACTCGTTGATTGGTCAGTTTGTGGGCAGTCGACCGGAGATTCCAGCTCTTCAGACATGGGCTAACAAGTTATGGGGGAGAGATGGGTTGGTGCGGGTCTCTCGATTTGGTACGAAGCTCATAGTTTTTCAGTTTCCATCGGCGGCATCTTGTGACTGGGTTTTCCGTTCAGGTCCCAGGCATCATAGAGGTAACCCTATCTTCTTCAGGAAGTGGCACCCTGGTATTCAGCCTATCATTCCCCGGGTAGAAACCCTTCCTATATGGGTGAAAATCTGGGGATTACCGTTGGAATATGTGGCGCAGGAAGGGTTGGAATGGGTGACTAGTACTCTGGGGAAGCCGCTTTGGATGGACCAGAAGACAAGAGTGGGTGGTCAATTGGGTTTTTCTCGAGCCTGTATTGAGATGAAGGCAGATTGTGAATTTCCGGCTCGTGTCAAGTTTTACCCAGATGATGATCCGGGGTTTGAGGTGGGGATTGAGTATGGTAACTTGCCAAAAGTCTGTGCTAAGTGTGGTGTGTTTGGGCACTGTTGTGGAGGTGAGGGGACGGAATCAGAGAAGGTTTGGAAGCCAAAGCAGGGTCAGCAGGCTGATGGTAAAGAGGCGCAGGAGGGGGTAGTTGATGAGATTTTTTGTGATGCGTTGGCTGATGAGGAGGGAGCAGGAATTGATGTTGCTAATCAGTTGGTTGGGGATTTAGATGTTGGAAATGTTGGGATTCAGGCACAGGGGATGGACTCTCCACTAATTATGGGTGACAAGGGCTCTCCGTCTTCTACAGTAAGTCCTTCTTTGAGCTTTGCAGCTGTGGTTCGAGGGTCTCCAAGTGAAGGGGATTCGAGGGCTAATGTTACAAAGCAGAATGAGCCTCCTCCTCCGGATAGCTCTGGGGTGCAGGGGAGCTCTGATACACTTCCTCAAGAGCAGAAAGTTGGTGAGGGGAAGGGTAAGAAGATTTGGATTGAAGAGGCTCAGGCTGATTTTCAGGTGG